TACTTTCATCGTTTTATATCGTTTAAACGTTAATTTAAAATGGACTGTATTGGTAATTGTATATTACCACAAAAACAAATTTTTATGTTCATCATTATGATTTTTCATACTTTAGACGCATACTTAACTCATTTTTTCCTTACCCATTTAAACACCTATTAAGTCATAAAACATATTTAATTTTTATTAGCTGTTTTTTAATCATTTTTTATAAATGTTTTAAAATTATATCGTGTAAAGATCCTACTACTATTTAGTTCGTCCCTGTAACTTTTACAGACGGACCCTGTCCGAAAAATGTCTCTTAAGTCACACAAAAATACATGTCTAATTACTGACTGACACAGTGATTTAAATAAAGGGTTACGTAGAACCCCATAATTTACCTTACTGTTTTTCACCATAAAATGTAAGATTATATTTGAGTGTATTAAACATGTGACTTACCATTGCTCATGAAGTAAACTTACATTGTAGCATTCAAAATCGTATTGTTTGGTTGTCAGTTCTCGTCCATTAGATGAAGAAGAAAACATACTTTCAAAATAGATAGGACAACGTATTTTATATTTGAAAATTTACTTCCGCTTAAATTTTCTTAAATATTTTTATTCACCTATCACAATAACGTGATGTGAACCGTTTATACCTTGTTCGTTAATTCAAACTACATATAGTGAATCGTTAGTTATGCTTAATGCAGTTTTACAATGGTTTGAAAAGCGTAATATCATTAAAACACCTTTTCAAGTCAATGATCTATTTGAACTGTGTACACAGTGTTATTTAATCGGGTTAGGAGTAATAACAATGCACCTTGATTGTTTACGTTATCGTGACAGGTGTATCAAACTAAATTTGACTTTAAATAATTCGGACTTTTCGATTTATTTTGTTATATGACGTTACATGAAGCCATGTCTAGAAAGGTTCCTTCTCATGGTGTTTGTGTTCTGAGGCAAACACTTTATAACTTGGTCTTGATTTCACAAACATTTGCAATATATATTGAGAATGTTAGACATTTGTTTTAAAAATTTTTTTAAATTTAATGAGTCCTTTTATGGTTTTTGGTTTTAAATTTCTCGTTGTTCTCTTTTGTATCATAGCCCAAACAATAAAGACACTTTTCCCTGATACCCAATTTTAAAACCCCAAAAAAATTCGCGAGTTTAAATATGATTTTTCCCATCGCTACCCTTTCTTGTCGTCCTTTGTTCCCCGGAAACTAAACCCAAGGGGCATGTCTGCTCGGGTCAAATCCCTTTGCCCCAAATTAACCCCCCTGTGCATGTAAAATCTTTTTAACTCTGTCAAAATTTAAAACAGAAAGGTTCCAAACATAAATAAAACATATTTTGTGGAAAAAAATAGCATCAGGACTGTTGAAAAATACTATTTTGGAGGATTATTTTTTTGAACCCCCATAACGGGTGTTTTTTTAAATTTTTAAAATTTCCCACTTTTTTGTGCTTAAATGTTGAATTCTGTTTAATCCGGTGGTATGGTCGTGGACGGGTCACAGGACTAACCGAAATACCGAAACACTACCAAAATAATAGAATACCCCGGAATACCCGATAACAGATATAAGAAAGCTAAAATACCTTATAGTAACAAGGTGTTTAAATCCATATTCACGCCATTAAATAAATCGTGACATAATTCTCGTATTAGGCCTTCTTTTAAGCCTTATTGTCAGTGTGTACTGTACAGTACGAAATTATTTTTTTTTGAGTTATAAACAAAGACAAAATACTTGCAGATTGTCGTCTGTATCTGCAAATTATAACAGATTTTGTCTTTTCAAATTGTTTGTGAGTCTCAGCCATTCTATAGTCACCGGTTTGTAATAAAGCACTTCTCAGTCGTTTGATCTTTTTTTGAACTTTTTGTACAAGTCGTACAAGGTCTAAGAGTGATTGTGTTTTCCAGTGTGTTTTAAAACACGATTTCAAAGCAATAATGGTTAAAATCTGCGGTATTCTGTCTCCTTAAAATATCGTCAATTATTACGGCTGTCTTAATCTATTATTAATGGGTATTTTGGCTTTCTTATATCTATTATCGGTTATTCCGGGTGTACTCTCGTATTTCGGTAGTGTTTCAGTATTTCGGATAGTCGTGTGACTGGTGGTGGACGGCTACTTGCACTTTCCAGTACCTTCAATAAACTGGTTAAACCGAATCGAGCCTGCAACAATTTCATTTTTGTCTTTTTTAAGTGTTTTTTGGGGGGTTTTCTCTAAGTAAGAGACATTTCGAAGAATTTAGAAGATAATAAATTAATTTATTAATTAATTTATTATTAATTAATTCATAAATAAATAAATAAATTAATTAATTAATGAAAAAAAGAAACAATATGAAATGCTTTTACTCCAAATTTGTCATTTATGATAATTATAAGACATAAATATTTTTTTTTCTAATGATGCATTTTTTAGCACAATGTAGTTTATTTATTTTCTATAATCAACTTTTTACACAGACTTCGCGAACAACCCTCGTATGTAAGGACATAAACATCAGATGAGAATTGAAAATCAGTTTGGTTCGTACAAGACCAAAGATTACGTTATGAAGAAAATAATGATCAAACTTCATTATAACATAATTCTCATAAAAGATCACTCAGATCACAAATTAATGTGGTAGATGAATTTTACAGTACCCTTATAGAAAAGTCCCTTTCATATCACCCTCCGTTTGTATTTGCGCGTTATAACAAAATAAATAACAAATGACTGTCTTTGTAATAGTGGATATTCCCCTTGTTTGTACCGAGGTATTGTACCCTCACTCAGGATCACAATGTCCACTTTCACAACAATTGATGGCGATTCTTTTTATTTGCGTATGGCATATAGTGCGTTTGATTGTCATAACCCGTAAGATTTATTAAGCCGGTGCTAGGGGGCCAGGACGTCGGCATGCACTTTGAAATACCGTCCATGAACAGGTTCAACCTAACCAAGCATGCTACATTTTCAAATGTTTCCGTTTCGGGCTTTTATTTTTCATTCGCAACTGAAGAAAGTATCCCTAAACAGTAGTGATAAATGAAAGAAAAAGGGTTATTTTTCCCATAAAAAAAAATTTCCGAAACTAAAAATTAACAAAATTTGGGGCCAAAAAGGGCCCCCAAAAAAGGGCAAAAAAAAATTAATCCATAGGGCATACAGGGCTTTTGAGCATTTTTTTGAAAACGGGTAAAAATACACCAGACATAAAAAGTTTTGCTGTAAATTACAGCATTTTGAGGCATAATGGGCCTTTAACACAACACAAGCAATGATTTGCTTCTTTATTATTTATTTGGCTGTAAACATTAAGACCCACTTTCGAATCCTGGAACTTCAGCCAACCAGTACTGTTGCTCAAAGTAACAACTGCTTGCACTATCCTTTTCTTTTAAGAATAGATAAATAAATGGATATAAGAATAGTCTTAAGATGTATGATCAAGATAAGTATAATATTTAAAAGATAAATTAATTAAATAAAAATGAATAAATTAATTGAATAAAAATGAATAAATAGATAGATAAATAAATAATAAATAAATAAATTAATAAATTAATAAATTAATAAATTAATAAATAAATAAATACATACGATTGCATTGCTGAATTGCTTTTCATTGCCACCTTCCAAGGTCCTTCTGTTAAATTCTGGTGCAATATTAAATACACCAATTAAGGCTGTACATTTTGAGTGCATAATCGATACTAGTTTTTTCTCATTGTTGAATAGATATTGGTATTTATAAAATTGATTTGAAAAGTATTTGTGCAATTTAAACATTATCTACGCCATCAATTATTAATGAACTATTATTGATTTTCATATAAGAATTCTATTGACGTTCCATTTGCAGCAAACTTATTTTTAATTAAAGTTTTTAATTTCTTAAACAAAACATGGTGTAATTTGATATAAACATGCTGGAGAAGAATTAAATAAATCAGTGAACTTTACCATCCGGATTGTGTAAAACAATAGAAAGATAAAATAAAGATAAATATATAAAAAAACTACCATGGCAAAATTAATCAAATCATGTAGAATTGATAATGTCGATTATTTTATTTTTTGTGAATTGTTCAAAATGTCTATTAAATAGAGAAAAACGGAAACTAAAAAGTTCGCCCGACACGACAAAATTGAAAATGCTTTAGGCTCGGTTTGATTGATCTTGTTCATAGTACTGGAAAGTGCGAGTAACCGTCCACGTATCCAAGTAGGACTTAAGCAGACTTCAACATTTAAACACGAAAATGATGAAATTTGGAATTAAGAGATCTACGCAGATGTTTTCAAATGATAATGCTCCGAAATGATATCTACGAAAGACCTGATATCGTGCAACAATTTTGTCCTTTTGGCTATTTTTATGTGTGTACATTGTTTGTTTGTTTGGTTTTACGTCCCACCGACACAGTATAGGTCATATGACGACGGTCCAGCTTTACTAGTGGAGGAAGACCTCAGATGCCCTCTCGTGCATTATTTCAGGCACAAAAGGCACCTGAGTAGAACAAAGCTAGCTGGATAGCTTCCTCACATGGAACTTCCTGACATTAAAGAATCAAAAGTCCCTGTCGGTATTCGAACCCACAGCGGTGAGGGGCATTTTGATTTGAAGTCATAGACCTTAACCACTCGGCCACGGACGCCCCATATATGTAGATAATCAAATATTAAAATACAAAATACACTAAAACATGATATCAAATAGACATAAATTGCAAATATTGTTTAAATGATGACCAAGTTTAAAGGTATTTTCCTCTCAACACAAGGGCCATGAGTAGGATCCTTCCGTACCAACGTCATAAAAAAAAACTAAAGTCAAAATTAAATTGTAATTACACTAAAGCCAATAATATTGCACAATGTTTATATCGATCATCGCTGTATTGAATGTGTGTTTTCAAGATATCACATTTTTTCAAACCGTTGTAAAAATGCATTGACTATAACTAACTATTCAATATCTCTAGGTTATATTAACAAGCAAAGTATTAACGTTTTACACCACGCTTTTTTAAAAGCTGAATACCAGGAAAATCTACGCGGAAGTAAATTATTTTATTCTAACGGACGAGAACTTTGATCATGCAAAACGATTTTGACTCTTACATTGTAATGTCACTTCATGAGCAATGGTAAGTCACATGCTTTATCCACTCATTATAAATATTTTCTTACATTTATGATGACCAACAATAAGGTATTATGTGTTATAATGTGACTGAATGTTTTTTTGTTTTTTTTTTTAAATTGACTAATAATAATGAAATTAAAAAATTAAACATAAATAAAAACAACAATTAAATATGTTTTAGTGACTAAAGATATTTTAATAGTTTGATGTATATTCGATTTAGAAGTCTTTGTTTTTGGATAATCATATAGGTTTAAAGATACTAATGTTGTAAATTATTGCATATCTTTGTAGGACAATATTTCATATCTATACATAAGTCGTCAACCTGTTAAGAAAAAAAAAGTGCTAAAAAGACTTGTTTGATGGTAGATCTAAACGTTTGAACACTATTTGTACGCAGTAAAATATACAATTTGGTAGTAGAATAATTCACATATCATATCATATAGTCGCCTATATGCTTAAATGGGCTAAACAAAATGTGTTTAAATGCGTTTGAAAAAAACCTTTTTAAATATCTTTAAATTGATTAAAAAAGTGTTTAAATGGGTTAGAACAAACACTTAAATATATTAAAAATCGGTGTTTTAATGGGTTAGAAAAATGGAAAAGAAGAAGTGTTGAATTGTAATGAATACTTTTAATTTTTTCATCCTTGTTTTACGACGTTTTATCATGAAAAGATTAGTTCTACATAAAATTATTGTAGATTATTTCATAGTGAAAACATATGTAGAATGTGCCTTTTGTAAATTGATGAATTAAAATAATTTATGTTTTTTTTTTCTGAAAAATAGCTGACATATGGATTTTAATTTGTCGGTCAATAACAATATATAAAATAAGTTAGATATAAGTGTTAAGTGTGGAGAATTATAATGATTTACTAAAATCAGTTTTAAATTAATATACCATCACCATTAAGTGTATTTTTAAATGAAAAATGGATTGTATTTTTTGATAATTTGTAATTAAAATTGAATTACATTTGTTTTGTTACAAGAAGCAAGGAATCTGTATAAAAGGGTGTACAATATTTTTTCTTATTGTACATTTTGTTGCAGAAAAGACAAAACGAGTGAAAAAAAAAACAGGCAAATCCTTTAAATATAAAGTAAATGACAAACATTATAACATAATGTATGATATTTCTAGTTCCATTTGTTTTGCATATTATAGAGACGGAACGACAGTAAACGATAAATCAGAGTATCTGATTATTTTAAAAACCTAATTATGTGAATTTAAAATATGTTTTAGACGGACCCTTTGGCAGAATGGGTAGAAGACAGGAAAAGCACAATAATAGAGTTGCGAAATCTTGCTGGGAAAATAAAACTTCATGCCAAGAAAGCAAAAGTTGCTAGTGCTTTTGGCGGAGGAATAAGTATTGTTGCAGGCATTGGAGCAGCTGCTTGTTACTTTTTAACACCAATCACTTTAGGTGCAAGCGTTGTACCTGGGATAGTCCTTACAGGAATCACAATAGCCGGAGGTGTAACTTCCGTAGGCTCTTCAGTAACGAACTTTTTCATCGAAAGGGGATATTTAAAAAGTGTTCAAGAGGCTCTAAATGAAGATAGAGAATCGTTTAATTGCTTCAAAAAGGCTGTTAAAAAGGCTAAAGCAGTTACCGTTGGGGAAGGTGCTGTGTATGCTTTCAAAGTTGGTAAAGGTATTCCAGGTAGTATAAACGTTGCTTTATCCATTGCTCGAAAACTCACAGTATCAGAAAAAGCTGCAGCCAGTCTTTTAAAACTCGGTCGGACAGCACGATTTGCCGGTCACGCAGTTGCATTTATTGCTTTGCCATTAGATATAATCTTTTTTGTAAAAGATGTTATAGATTTGAACAAAGGAAACATATCAAAAGCTGCTGAAAAAGTTCTTGAATTAGCAGAAAATTTAGAGAAAGAGCTAAATGAGATACTAGCTGATTCTTAAACAGTGACAGACGTTTACTAAACAGGATGTTTGTTTTTTTGTTTTTTTGGAAGACAATATTGGTTGATATTGAAAAATGTCACTTTTGAGAGAAATTCATCATGATATAAAATAATAAATCATTATGACTTCTTACTTTCGCGAGAATTATATCGTTGTTATAAAGAGTTTTTGTTATACTGAGGGTCGTTCTGCAGTGGTTGCATTATGATACATATACATTCTATAAATTAGTTTCAGTAAGAATAAAGATTTGACATAATGATAGTTCTAAAGAATATACAAGTATGTACAGAAAGTTCGTTAAGATAGCATCAAATATTATAGAGATACTAAGTAACTATTTATTGAACCTTCCATTTTGACAAAATAAATGCTAAACGTTTAATTTGAATGTGTTATTTATAACCGCTAGTTATTTATTGAATGTCTTTCAAATAATTTGACCAAGGTGACCAAAACAAACAGAAACAAGAATATCACAAACACAGTTTGGGTTTGAATAAGCATAAATTATACAATTATTTGTGTTCTGCTAAATGCAAAAACAAATCAGAAAACCAACCTATAACAATTAACTGCAGTTGTAACACTATAGTCTGCGTGTATACAAATCTACTTTAATGTACAAATGTTATCGACCGTGCAACAATTACTCTATAATTATATGGATTGCATTTCAGTCTTTATTGTCTTGTTTGGCATGTGTTAATAATAGTGTTATATCAGTAGTGATCACGTAAAAAAGTAATATCAAACCTGGCAATACTTGAAGTTTTTTGTATTCACTTGTATCGATAGTATGTGCAACTTTGACATGTCTTTTATATATTGATAATTTATAACGCTCGTTAACTTTTTTGTTTTTCTGTTTTTGTTTTGTTTGGGTTTTACGTTTCATCGACACAGTATAGGTCATATCGCGACGTTCCAGCTTTTACTGGTGGAGGAAGACCTCAGGTGCCCTTCCGTGCATTATTTCAGGCACGAACGGGCACCTGAGTAGAATCACCGACGTTCCGTAAGCTAGCTGGATAGCTTCCTCACATGAAATAATCTAAAGTCTCTGTCGGGATTCGAACCCCATGCGGTGGGGGGCAAGTGGTTTGAAGTCAACGACCTTAACCATTCGGCCACGGACGCCCCGCTCGTTTACTTATAGTTATACTAGTTTATGAATTTCCGATCGAAAGTCAAACTAGGTTTAAATATAAATATATAATATGATAGAAGTCATTAAGCGAAATATGGATGCCGTAGATCGTTTTGTTTTTGTGTACGTGTATGTATGTCCTTTTACTTTTGAATTTTGTTTAAAACGCATCGAATATTAGTAACGTTTATATGTTTGACAGTTTCTAAAATATGTTGTAGTTCCACTTAATTGCCATTGTTGCTATCAATTATTTAAGAGTGTTTACATTCATTACAACAAATGTAATAAAAATCTATATATTTATGAAGAGAGCTTCAGTTGTGGTGATCGAAATACAATTTAAAGAATTAGATAGACATTTTCTAAATTTAAACTATTTAAAATTGAAACCAAACAAATTTAGTTGACGTTCTTTTTTATTTTTATAGTGACGGTTTATGCATTCCGTATGCTTATTGTCCTGGCCTTTTCGTCCGTCTGCCGTCTCTCTGTCCATCTTTCCGTCTGTTCGTGTCTGGATAATAACTAAGAAGTACACCAAAGGAATTTGAATTAACGTGGCACAAATATTTGTTATAATAAGATGACGTGTCTTACCCAACATACTTAACCTTTCGTCCAAGCTCAATGTCACACTCGAAGGTCAATACTAAAAATGGTCTGTTATATTTTGTGTCAGTTCAATATTTGTTTATAGATCAAGGGATTTTTTTAATTACTGGGCACGAATGTTTAAAATATGAAGACAATGTGTCATGCGCAACACCCGCACCCCTAACTCAAAGGCCATGGTCACATTTGGAGGTCAAAGCTAAAAATGTTTATTTATAGGATATATTATGTGTCAGATCAATAGCTTTTTCCATAGATCAAGGGATTTTGAAATTGCTTGTCACAAATGTTCACAACAATGAAATTATGTGAAGACGTGTATTAGAGTGACATAATAGTTTATCTCTAATGTACAGCATACATCCATTTAAGGGGATGTCGCAATGGAGACGGGGGACGGTGTTCTGCTACTGGACATTGATTTTGTAATGCTGTAAAACATTGAAGATGGTCATTACTATCAATACAAGATTTTGTTTTCAATGACGACTACAATCATGGTCTACAGCTCAGTTTGATAACATAATCACAATAATTTACGTATACAAATTAAAAAAACAAACAATTATTTTCCTAATGTTTATCGAAACATTATAAAAATTAAAAGAAATACTCAACGAACGTGGTTTAAAGTAAGGACATATGCCTTTTTTCTTCAAATTTGAAAAGAATTGTGCACATCACCTTACCCTGCTGGAGAAGATAGTGGTAAAACAGTGCCAGCAGTATGAAGCCAGGCCAGCATGCACTAATACATTCTAACTTGTCTGTATACCGTTGGGTAAATATTAATTTTTATGTTGGTAATAATTCCTAAACATGTTGATGAACAGTTTCAAGAATACAAATTAAAATAACGAAAAAAAAAAAAACGTTCATGGGTACTAATTATGATCATGTTCATTAGAAAAAAAATGTTTAAAAGGGATGTTTGCCAGTGAGTGAATATGAAGTGGTTTAAATCTGTCATTCTGCCCTTCCCTAATAATATCATTTGCAACGTCGGATGCCGTGCTGAGACGTATCACATCACTCCAATAAGAAAGAGACATTCGATAATGCAAACCAACGCAAAGTTATATACAAATTTATATTTTTGTATTATACTCAGCTGTGAAAAGTCCGACAGAAGACAATAACTTGCAAAAAGGATCACCGGAATAAAGAAGTTAAAATAATAAAAACAAAAATCAGTAAAACATATAGAGAATCAAATTTTATGAGCATGGTGAAAGAACCAACGAAAATATCATGCAGCTATAAAACAAAATAATTCATTTGTCTTTCAATTTTGGAAAAGATAATATGAAGTTCTTCTTATCTATTGTTGTTTGTATAAACGATTATTATGACTTTGTTGTTAAAATAGGAGCACTTATGTCATTAAAAAGATTGAACTTAAAAGATTAAGTGAACTGATAAGCATATTCTCCTCAATTAAAAGAAACATATAATATTATCAACAAAGATAAGATTTACGTCAATTAAGAATATCGAAACAGGTCTTGGCACATATCTGAATTAAGGAGGTATTTGTAAAAAGAAACACAAGTTTATCACTATCTGACTTGTTATGCAATTCTGGTTCGACGGCTGCCGCCTTATGAAATAAGTTTTGTCTGTTATCATCATAAAGTGAGCACTGTGACATAACATGAGATTTTAGTTCAACATTTTTAACACACAATGGACACGCACCGTTTTGTTCAATAAAGTTTTAATATATTTTAGTTTAGAGTCTAATGTGAACAAAACAACAGCAACATTAACTTAATTTGTTAATAGACATCTGTTAAAGTCATTTTATATCCACCAACGTTATATGTAATTATGCTTCTCAAAAGTGATGAATAAAACAAAAATGTTTCTCAGACGGACTTTTATATGACCAATCTATCAGACCTATCAAAAATAAATAAAATTTTGTAAAGCAAATGATAGAAAATGCCAAACAAACATGTGTCAAAGAAAGATATAAACATAGGACTAAATTGTAAAAGATTTTTTTATGTAAATGAATAATGAAGGTTTCTGATAATATTTTAAATTAATTTTGTAAACTCGACTTTTTAAAAAACAGATTTTAACTCCTCGTTCAGATTTCTAAATGAAAATAATTACTTGTAGATTAAGTTTATTTTACAACTAATGGAAAGACTAAATTAAGGTAAATGTTAAAAATAAAAGACGAGGGATGATATATCTACTGTTACTCACAAACCCATGTGTTATTTATTTTATTACCCCGAACAAATAATGTGATCATATGAAATTGTCAACTAAATTTAACTGTAACAAAAATAAACCAAGAGTAACAATAACTTAACTGTCCTGACCTTTTAAGTTTTAAGTGTTTTGTACATTAAGCCTACTTGAGATTTTTTTTTATTCTTTAAGACAGTGATGATATCTGCCAGAAGTTGAGTCCTAAACATACAATAGGCTGTGTGCCTATAGATGAGCCAAAATATTGCGAAAAATTTAATATTAAGAAACATGTATTAAGATCTTAAGAAAAGTTAAAAGATTCAATATTAAATCAATTATTTATATTTAATGTGCGATTAGTCACTAATTTTACAGTATCAATCTCTATAATTATACTGCGTTACTAACGCAGTAAGAGGCATTTATGTTCATTTTGACCTCTTTTTGGTAATTAACGTGGATTGTAAGTGCTGTTTGCAATGAGTAAACTACGTTCTTTGTTCACTTTACAATATCTTGAGTGTTACTTTTGAACACATTTTCAAATTTTCTTGATAATAAAGCATGAATCTGGAGGCATGCTGCTTTAAACAGAAGCATCAAGAAGTTGTTATACTTTACGATTTTCTGAATCCACAGAAAGCGTTGAACATTATGTACAATAACTTTATGTCATCCAAGTGGTTAATGCACACTCAGGTAAAAGTCACAATAACTTTACATTTTACCAAAATTATGTTTAAATAATAATATTACTATCCATAAATAATAAATAACTCTCCAGACCCACGCATTTTGTTTTATAAATACCGTTCGGAATGTATCGATAACGTGCATGTTTTTCTTGTTGTTGTTTTAAAGAGTAGACCAGTCTTTTGAGAAGTTATGCCGTTATATTTTATGCTAAACAATTATTGGCAAGTCATCATTACAATATTGAATATTTTGAAATATATTACTAATTAAACTTAACTAAAATGAACATAATATCACTTTTACTACAATGTGCCATAGAATATTCAGACAAGTCATTAAATCTTTATCCGAATACTCATAATTGGCAGTTTAAAAATATATATTAGCTACAAGGAATTTAGTCATGGGAATCTCAAATATCATTTATATAATCAAACTTATGTAAATATACGAAATGATAGACTTTCACAAAATTGTATATGGATTTATTTATCATCTTAAACATGTTTATTCAAGGCAAAAATAAATAGTTTTAATAGAAAGAGTATTTATTGAAATTGTATATCTCCTGTTTATCGTGTCTTTATTCTTTTTGACAGTATGTAACGAAAAATGAATAGATATGTTATTTGGCTTTTCTTGTTACACCAGATTAAAGTTTTATTTCATTTTATATATACGGGAAACATATGATAATATTATGCTGTGTTTAATGATGTGTATCACTACTTTCACATTCTATTTGAAGAAAGCTATTGCTGCAAAATTGAATCGAATGTAACGACATTTTAAAACGGATACGTCTATCTCAGTATAAACAACAGTTATTCGGAAGAGATTCAATTTCGGCACCATAATTAGACACATAAATCGTCGGGGTTCAATATAACAGCTGTTATAAATCAAGATTTGATCGTCAGCATTTCGTATCATTTATGCAGCGTGTGGTAGATTTCCAATGTTGTATATTTCCCAGATCAGATAACGGAAGAATGATTTTTCAATAAACTTTCATAAAACCAATCTATACGTTGATGAAAGATCGAATCATTACCAGACATCTGAAATAAAAAAAATAATCAGATGTAAAACAATTTACAGCTACAAATACGTTCAAGTCTATGAACAGCATGTGTTGGCTTTGCAAACAATCTGTTACCCTTCAATAATAATAATAATAATAATAATAATAATAATAATAATAATAATAATAATAATAATAAATACACACAGTTTAATTTGTACATTTAGTTGTCTTTCTACACAACAATATGACCATCATGTTCTCTTACATTTTTTTAAAATATTGATATTCTTATTGGGATTTATTATCATAGTGCATTGAGTGTGTACGATTGAACAGCTTATTTGGCGTATCAGTTTGGGAGAAATTACACATTACCTATTCGCCAATTAATATACTAATTAAAATCTCGTCTCGATGATCACCTATTTGCTTTATTTCAATATCTCTGATAGAATATCCCTTTTCAGAAAGGTACATGAGGTCTTCATCTAACAATAAAGCCGGAATGTCGTTATATTTTTTTCTTACAGTATTAATGTAACTGAAAATGCATCAAAACAAACACATTTAGAAGAGATTGAGTACTTGAACTTTTCTTATAATTTATCGGGAGCAAGATAATAATACTTCTCACATTCACGTATATCGTCATGGAATCAAATTATAGAGAGTACTAACCTCTTTCGACATTAGGGTTTTGCAATTATGATTACAAAACACGTTTATGCGCAGAAACACATCCATAATGATGTTATCAGTAATCT